ATCACAGTTTAAAACCGACTCCTATTATATATCTACAACTGATCCTAAAATCTGATAGCACTGTCTCTCTTCTCTTCAAATTAGAAAATAGAAGTATTTGGTGTTAGCATGGATTTATATATACACATATTTAAAAATAACTAGATCTTACCAACATTTCAATAGTTACATTAATGTTCCATTTTAAAATTAGTCTTTACCTGTTAGTATTTTAGAAGAAAAAAAAAGTTTTTTTTTTAATGTAAAAAAAAAAAAAAAACAATGTATAAGTGGGTTAGTGTGATCCTAGCACCCACACAGGAGACAGGCAGATAGACGACAGTTTTCTCACACAGTCACGGAATTAATGGTACCTCGTGCTATGACAGGACAAAACATCCAACATTTCTGGGACACTCACTGCACTGACTTGTTTGTCAAACACATGAAAGGCATTCAAGGCTTCCAGATGCACCCGCTGCCCAGCACCTTGGCACTGGGTGCTACATGCAGCTGTGTGTGTCCGGTACCTGGCAGGCTGCACAGCGCTCCTAGCTACAGTGAGGCTAGGAAGTCTTGCCATGACAGGGTGGGTGCCCCCAGAACGCGAAGCAGGGATAGGTTCACTTTAAAAGCAATGGCCATAGGAGGAGCGTTCATGAGGAGAGAGAAGAAAAGAGGCATTAAGGAAGGCATAGCAGTAAATCCAGAAATGCAAAAACCAAATATTTCACCGAAAATATTTGCTAAACACTGTGAGGGGAAAAAAAACGAATCACAAAGGAACTTGGGAAAGCAATACAGATGGAGGGAACAGAGGCAGAGGCTGTCCAGAGTAAATGGGACAAGCAGAGGCGGAAGCTTGAGAAAGGGTCAACTCAGACAAACAGCCTCATTTTAAGAAGTCGTTTAAAAAGCTAGCGTCAACCATAGCCAGTCAGGAGATGCAGGCCACAGTTTAGAATGTTCTTCTCAGGGTAGCTTTTAGAAGCATCAGTGACCTCATCAATCGACAAGCCCATCAAAGTAGACCCACTGAGCCTGGCCAGCCGGTTACTTCCCCTCTTTTCTTGTTTTGTTTCCAGGAGTGTCTGTTTCACAGTGTTTACCAGCCAATCCAAGAAATTACATTTTAAACAAATGGATATGCAAGGAGTCTCGGGTAAGTACACAGATGTGCTTGTCTATAAACACATCAAGACAACGAGGAGCCTAAGGCTGGGATGTAGCTCAGTGAAAGAGCACTTGTCCAGCATGCAGAGGGTATGTGACCCCCCAGGATTGTTAAAATCCAACACTTGAAGAGGAAAGTAGAGGTTGGCCACCTCACAGCAGGTTCCAATAGCAAACCTGCACACAGAGGTTCTGTGAGAGGCCAACGCTCCACAGAAATGTTTTTTAAAACAAACAAACTGTCTGGGCTGACTGGAGCTGCTAACTTTGAATGAACCAGTCAAGGCACACCTGAGCACACCTGAGCAGACTGCCCAAACTCAGGCTTCCTGGAAAGTGTCCAACTGCCAATTAGTTTTTAGACACTTTGGTGACGGTTTAAAAACAAAGTAAATGCTTATCTCTTCGAGGTATGAGCCAAAATGTTTAAGGATGGAATGCCTGGGGTGTGGCTGAAGATAATGCATGTGGAGGAAGACAGCCGAGGAGCTGATAACCATGAAGCTGAGGTTCACTGGAGTTTACCTCCTTTCATGTTTTATATTTTCACTGTGAAAGATAAAACACGAGGATAAAAGCACTTCAGGGGTAACCCTGGGACCTACATCAGGTACCTCCCATGACTGTTTAAATAGCAGAAGACAAAAACAAGTATGAAACATGTGCCTCTCTACGGCTCCTAGCTAAACTGCCTGATGTTTGTAGAAAATTCTCGAATCTCCCTTTAAAGAGGACAGCACAGGCCAGGCTAAGAACCCCTCCCAGAGACGCACGTGGCTGCGATGACCACTTCCTCCGTGGTGATGGGCTGGGTGTGAGACCGGTCCTGCAGGCGACGCAGCCTTTGCTCCACGGCCGCGTTTCTCGATCGTCTCTTTGGGACGTTGTGTTCATCAAATGATTTCTCCATTTCCTGCAGTTAGAAAACATTGTAGAACCCCCCATGAACTCAAAGAAAAACAGCTAGGGTAACAAAATGTCTGCCTGCTGCTCTTCCGAGGGATCCACAGGAGGAGACACCAGAGAGAGGCCCCTGCCATCAGAAGAGAAGACTTCCGGCTGGAGCAGCTGGGTGGTCAAAACCAGCCAAAGCAGATCCTGAAGCTTACTTAGTTCCAGATGGCCTGCATTAAAGGCTTGGTCCCCAGCTTGGGACTGGTGGAACGTAAGAGGTAGGGCTGAGAGCAAGGTCATCAGCCCCCCAAAAGGATCCCAGAATCCTGTCTCTTCCACTCTTCTTCATCCCTGCCACCAGGTGGGGAGCAGATTCCTCCACCATCTGCTCCTGTCAGGGAGTGCTACCTCATCACAGGCCCGAAGCAACAGGGCCAGCTGCTCACAGAGTAGAACCTCAGAAGTACTGTGCAGAGATAAACTTCTGTTTTTAGAAAATGTGATAGCCTCAGCTGTTCTGTTACAGTAAAGGGACTGACTAACTCAGCACAGGAAGAGAAGAACAGGTACTGTAGGCGAGGAGGACACTGAGGCTCCCAGAAGTGTTTGAAGTACCGGGCATCTTCCTCTAAGGGTTACAGTCTCTAAGCAAACCATCTGGCACACCTTACCCTGAAAAGCAACCTCTTGGCAGAGACACTCAGCTTGGCCCGTTCATCTACCTTTTCTTCATCTGTAAAAAGCCATGAAAGAAAAACTGAACATCATTAGAAAGCATGGGCTTCATCTCTGAAAGGCTTTCAAGACTGACCCGGCCACCCCTTGGATCCAAGAGGAGGTGAATTGCCATCCCAACTGGGAAGTCTCCCCTTGTGAGGAGCTCATGCTTCCTCACCACAATTTAAACCAAACTGTGGCCAGATGGTGATGTTTACTGTAGTAGTCTGGCTAAGAGGCTTTAAGAAGGGACCTTAGGAACAGACTGCCTTGCTGAGGCATGGTGGCAGTCACCAGTAAAATCCACTTCTTTCGTCACAACGGCTGTTTCATATTGCTTACAGAACACACCTCTTCATTT